AGTATATGGTTTGTATGTTATTTTAATGAGATTTGGGGTGTTTTCTTAACAATAAAGAATGTTTACATGAGAAATGCCAAGCTGGTAGCTTAGTATAAAAAACTACAAATAAGTTATTACAAACACTTGATGCTGGTTTGAAGTGAGATTTGAGTAAAAGCTTACCATTAATTTTATAAAAAGTCTTAGCTTGGTGCTAATGTTAGCTCTAATGCACCTGTTACCCTGCTGCAATTGCTTTTAATGATGTATCAGAAGAATTCACGTAAGGTTGTAAGAAAATATTTTGTTTTCTAGAAAGACACTTTAAGTGGATAAATGTATATTGGATCAATGCAATGTGGACTAAGAGACTATAAAGGAGTGGATAAAGATTTTCAATTTCATGAAATGTTTAACAACCTAACGTTATATGTTCACCTATACTGCAAAAGGGCCCCTTTTAGCTGATATGTTTTATTTAATTTCATGTTCAACAGGTTTGTTTTTGTAAAATGTAACTTTATAATTGTAAATGTGGTCGTCACTCCCAAAACTTTGCAGTGTGTACGTGGCCTATGTGTACAATCTTTGAGAGCCATAATAAGAGCTTTATGACCGGAGGAAAATAGCTCTACTGGAAGACTATTTTTTAACCATGTCTAAGAATAGAGAAAGACTTGAGCTAATTTTAAACTTGAGATCATTTTGCTTGGTTCTGTGTGGACACTTAAGGGTTGAAAAAGTCTTAAAAAAAAATCAATCCTTTGGATTGAATTCACAGGTTCATGAATAAATAAAATAAAAATAAAACAGGGATAAATTGGGAAAAATCTTAGATTACTTGATATTTTATATGCCTAGTTCAGAAGCTATAAACTGGAATGGTAATATAACTACAAATTCAAAACTTGGACACATTTTACTGAATTTATGTTTCTCATGACCTTTATAAATTAATGTAAAAATGTTATGCGTTTCTTTGCCAATTAAAATTATGATTATTATTTCATTTATTGAAGAAGGACAAGCAGCCAACAAATGTCTAGCATAGATGAACTGCTTCAATGCTGTATAAAAAGCCTCCCATGATGCACCTCATGAAGTTAGTTGTGAAAATGACTGTGATCTAGCCTAGACAATGCGCAGTGAGTTTTTGGTTTAACCTTGTTTGGTCACTAGATAATACTTCATACTTCGGGGAAGTCGTGGCCTAATGGTTAGAGAGTCAGACTCGTAACCCAAAGGTTGCGGGTTCGAGTCTCGTACCGAGATAGTCATGCACTGTGAAAACAACGATCCGATGATTTTGAAAATCATGCAGTGTGAACTCGGCATAAGTGAAACTCACATGGTACAAAAACACGTCTAGACTCGATTACAAATTTTGATACGGTCTCTCTGCACCATAGTGTCACCCACGCCAAATGTCACATCACTTTCACTTTCATACTTCAATTTGTGTTATGTAATAGTTTTGATGACTTTACTATTATTCTAAACTGTGAGATTATTATTAACAAATAGCTATGTCTGAATTTGTCACTGGTAATGTAGTACACTTTAAACAAGTAGCGTCAAAACAAACAAAAAGTCAATTTCACCTGGAATCAATTCCGTACATTTATAAAAAAAAAAAAACACTCAGTGCTGCTATCTGAATGACACTAAATCAGTCTACAGACCTAGTACATGGAAGAATGAAAGACTTCCTGGCTGTTATCACGGCACTTTTCAACCTCAGAGCACTTAAGAGAAACTCTTCTTCACAACAGAACAGCACATTCTTTCAGCTACCCACATGATGAGCGTCATTCGCTCTGGACGTGCTTCTCTAAAATCACAGAGGGAATTATTTGATATTTAGCCCTTCCAGTAAAAACATCCCACCCTTCTGAATATCCAACTGTCACGGGAGTTTAACATTACACTAAAAACATCTCAATGTTGGATTCAAAGAAAAAATACACTAGGCTTGGCTTTCTGATGTGTTTTGACAAAAGAAACAACAAAAAGGGACCATTTCTGCGTTTAACTAGGAAAGATGTCGATCTGAAAGGAAGATACAAAACCATTTAACCCTTTAAAAACTATTTGACTATGACAACTTTGAACTTCTTAACAATTCCCCAGCTGCCAGAAAGTCAAACAACCACAACCGAGGTGAAAAGTGCCTTTGAAAACATTCTGAAATTTCGGCGAGGAAGAGTCATTTTTCATGTGTCGCACACCTAACAACAGTCAATCGAAGGCACCATAGCAACAAGTGAACATTTGCTCTGAAGGAATGCAGGGTATGCAGGAGGAGGGGGCTTCATGGCGGAGGAGGAATCACAGACGAGAAGAGTTTGGTCACACCGATCAAAGTGATGAGCCAAGCTCATAGTCGTCAACATAAACACTAACGGAAAAAGTACTGTGACTGCAGTTTTCTGATAAACACTTTACAACCCACTAGTTTTCTAGCTTAAATGAACCACATTGTGGCTTCAAAAATCTCGCATGTGACGTGCATTCAGACTGCAGAGCAAATTAGCACGAAGATGAGTTCCTGTAGCGTTCCTCCTGGCTGGCTTGTAGATAGATCCCTAAACAAGACCATATCTGCAGATGAAACTTTTTTTGTAGAAGCATTTTTTAAATTTGAACGAGCACCTCATGACTACACCACGTTATGTTCGAGAAGCTGCAAAAGACACAGGCGCAAGTGGAATGTACAAGAATGTACAAGTCGAGAACACTTTTTGTGCGCAACTAATCCTTTAAGATTTGAGGGAAGATAATCTGCAAAGATTCTCCTTATGTGTGTGCTGCATGTGACGTGCATTCAGACTGCAGAGCAAATTAGCACGAAGATGAGTTCCTGTAGCGTTCCTCCTGGCTGGCTTGTAGATAGATCCTAGCTGGCATAAAATAACAGCCAGGGAGGCGAGGAGAGCTGTGATGAGGTGTGACGTGCATTCAGACTGCAGAGCAAATTAGCACGAAGATGAGTTCCTGTAGCGTTCCTCCTGGCTGGCTTGTAGATCCTAGCTGGCATAAAATAACAGCCAGGGAGGCGAGGAGAGCTGTGATGAGCAATCTCAATGCAGACAGGATGAATCCATACATTTAGAGGGTCAGTGAGCATCTCCTCCACTGAGGAGGAAGAGTGGGGAGGTCAAAAGCATGTGCTTGTGCGAAGTGTCACCGGGCCGCCTGACAGAGGGTGGTGTGGAGAATCTCACTCATCAATACTTAACCAAACAGTTGAAATAAAAGCAGCTGGAATCCCATTTGCACTGATGAACTACTGGGAAACAGAATTATTCATTCAAATATGCACCAAATCTTTATCTGGGTTTTTCATTGCATTTGTTTTGCTGGTATTTGTGTTTTTGTTGTGGCCACCTGCCACAATTTCACAGTATTGATGTTATAATAGCATCTTTTGATAACAATTGTGTTTTTTTTACCAACTTCAGGTAATGCTTTGGCAATACATATAAAAGAATGTCATGCTAATTAAGCAATTTGAATTTGTGCAATTTCTTGTGAGAAATACAGGAAGTGTCTTTACAGTGTAGTGAGCTAGTGAGCTATTATCTGTCCGTAGGCCTGTCACGATAACAACTTTTTGTTGTGCGATATATTGCCCCAGAAATAATTGCGATAAGCGATATTATTGTCATTTTAAAGACCATTTTATGCCACTGAATATATAATCATAATGTAACCGCATAATAATTGCAAGAAGGCCTACACGCATCCAAATGACAACAAACTTTTTAAGAATTTTTAAGAATATTTCGTTCATGGAAATGAAGTATCAACATATTAGATACCTTAAAAAACTTGAATAAATAGTAAATAAACATTTAACAAAAAGTGCAAAGTAACATTAGGATTTTTTAACTCCTGTAGTGTGAAACGGCTTTAAATAGAAAGATCAAAAGAACAGCATTTATTTGAAATAGAACATTATACATGTGTTTACTACAATTTAATGCATCTTTGCTGAATAAAAAATAAAGTATTGATAGAAAGAAAAAGATCATATAAATATATGACCCCACACATTTTAATGTTAGTGCAGATCTGTTAGTTGAATTTAAATTGGAAAAGTGTTTAAAAGACATTTTAAAAAGATGAATTACTGCTTTAATATAACCAAAATCCTTTACAGTGCTGCACATAAACATATTTAAGACAAAAATAGCAAATATATAGCTACCACACTTGTTTTGCAGCTGACCCCCATTTTAGGTGGTGCGATGCTTTTTGGAAAGAAAAAAAAGCAATAATTCCCTGCTGGGGGTGGGACAGTTTGGCTATTCTTAGATGGGAAAGTATCTAAATATGTATATACGACAAACCATAATTGGCCAGTCACTATCTATACTCCAGAGCTCTGTCATAAATGCTGTATTTACTGTGAAAGACAACATAATAGCGGCTTTTCAATCTTTCATCATAGCAACTGTTTCTCTAAAAGAATCTAACAGGAACATAATCTTCTAGCCGTTTCCAATAATGCAGAACAGGAACACATAGGCCTAGTTCTACAAAAAGTACCTTGAAACAGTAAACAGAAATAACTAACAACAGGCTCAGTGTATCATGTGGTCACATCTATTCGAGGTGTTTCTTTTCTCTCCCTGCCGAGAGAAAAGAAACACTCTCGGCAGGATAGCCAGGAGTTTACCAGTGGCATCCTGACAGACGTGGCACTCCTCCAGTGATGGGAATGAGAAACACTAACAGAGCCTACAAACCTTCGACATCAGCACGGACTGACCCATATACACATTTAAAAGAAACTGATACGTCATAAAAAGCGATACCACAAGTAGTGCTGGGCGGTATAACCAAAAATTTATATCACGGTATTTTCCAAAATTATACCGGTTTCACAATTCATATCATTACAAAAATAAACACCGGTATTCGGCATGAACCGGTATACCGCCCAGCACTAACCACAAGATCAACCACAGCTGCAACAAAGCACTTTTAAAAGCAAGCGTTAAGTAGAACCTCACCTTTGGAGTGAAAAGCCTCCTTTAGGCTCAGGAGCACGTCAGAAAACGTGCGCACATCATTGACCAGCTGCATGATGTAGTCAGGGTCCCCTCCAGGGGTGGTGGTGGTGTGATCCAGGCCCATAGCGTTGAGAGGGTTCGTCTTAGAGCTGCGGCCCATTTCTAGCGTTTTGTTGGACCCGGGGGACAGGGACACAGGGATGTTGGGCTGGGAGAGACGAGCACCGCTTGTCAAGCACTTATTCCCACTGTTGCTGCCCTGACGGAACATTCCAGCAGCCGCTTCTGCCAATACTGAGCCGCCTCAGCCGCTGATCCAAGCGCCCTCCTGCCAGTGGAGAGCTGAAGGTACTGCAAGACAAAAAGATGATCAATTAATGATCAATTAAAACAGCATACGGGATATTAGAGCCAAAGATCAGGGGCCTCATTTGTAAACAAATGTGCAGAATGATCCTAAATGTGAACAGTTTACCAAATGTTCCTATGAACAATTCATTCAATTCAAGCACAACATGCAACAACTCAATGCCCATAAATATCTCTTTATTAAGCAGATAGTTCACCCAATAATAAAAATTCTGTCATCATTTACTAACCCAAACAGTTGCTGGTCCCCACTGACCTCCATAGTATGGAAAAATACTGTGGATGTCAATGGGAACCAGAAACTGTTTGGTCACCCACATTCTTCAAAATATCTTCTTTTGTGTTCAACAGAAGATAGAAATTTATATAGGTTTGTAACAACTTGAGGATGAGTAAACGATGACAGAATTTTCATTTTTGGGTGAGCTATTTCTTTAAGAAATTTTTTGAAAACAGTTTTTGCTGCTTAATATTTTTGTGGAAACTGTGATATATTAGCATTTTAACTGGTATGAAAATTTATTATCACGATTATAATGACCAAAATTATCACGGTTATCAGTATTATCACGGTATTGTTAAAATGTGCTGGAGATTAGGGTTGGGTACCGAACTCGGTACTTATAAGGGTACCGACCGAATTGCGTCGGTACTACCGAGTACCGATTCACGTTAAATCAATCGGTGCCAAATTTCGGTACCTGAGAATGCATCTGGGCGCATACGCTACAGAGAGAGAAAGAGAGACCCTGTGACGTGATGTCACCCCTTCAACTCGTTCAAACAACACACAGGGCAAGCCGAAATGTTCTGAAGTGTGGTTACATTTTTAGGGCCATATGGTTTCTGCGAAAACACAGACGGGATCGCGGAGTCCGATATAAACTTGTGTCTGTGAATATTAAAATGCAAAAGGACGGTTTAAATATGAGTCCTGCATGTTCCACTTGCCTCTGTATGTATGAATGGCGGAAACGCGGTTTTGTTGTTTAAAACACAAATACTGAAGCACGCGTGACTCTCGCAGTGATTTCCGGCCTCTGTGTCTCACTATATGATGGCATGAACACAAAAACTTCATCTCCAGAGCTGCTGTGAGAGTAACTTTGCGAGAATTTTCCCGTTTCATTTGAGAAAACTAGCATCACCATACTGTTTACACACAGAAACTTGATGGCAACCTGTCAAAATAAAAGTACGGTTTAACATGTAACAGAAATATATTACTCTTGTATTACTTTTGTCCAGTATAATGTACATCTTTAAATATTCCATTTTCTATCAAATTTAAATAAAACAATTAAATGATACAAATAAATATTACAACCAGATTAATCACTTAATTGTTGAAAAAAATTATGTAAATATAAGTCTCTGTAAATCCACTCTCTGACACTAGGTGGCGCTTATGGAAAAGCTGAATTAGAGCTGTTTAATTCTGTATATTACCAAAGACTGAAGATAATACCACCACGATAGATTCTGTATGTAATTGATTTTATTCTACATTGAGGACACTTTATAAAACCTACAGAGGATGGGACCCAGCGGCCTTCACTAACATGACACAGTTTTGAAATTCTTCTAACCGTATCGGTCATCTGACAGACAGACGGATGGGTGCTAAGCCAAAAGTAAGCATTATAAATGTACTTTTATTCGTCGTTTTGTCCATGTAATGTTAAATTTCACTCAATTTATATTGTTCAGTGTTAATAAGTTTTCAAATTCCGCTCTGTTATTTTACATATCCCTGTGGGTTAATTTGCGCGTGAGGTCAAGTAACATTAGGTGGTTTAGGTGGTTGTCTGAGGTAAATTTATGTCTGTCCCTTTTAGTTGTTTAAATTGGTCACTAAAACACGTAAAACACGTAAAATATATTTAATATTTTCAAAACTTCATCTGGTGTGAAGTGTTTGTTCTTGTAGTAAAATACGTTAGACTTTGTCGTGGATCCCGGACGCTCACGCGATTCTGTGAGAGGCGTTTAAAATTTTAAAAATAATTTTAAAAAGCACACTGAAACAATTCAGTAAAGACTAAATATCAGTCTGACAGAAGACAAAATGAGCATTGTGAAGCTATATTTATATCTATAATAATCGTTTATATTTCAATTGTGTTTCAGGGCAGTTCGTGAAGACAGATGTTGCGACAACCTCTGGACTAGGGCTGGGTGATATAGCTAAAAAAAATCATCAACGATATAATGTTTCATATCGTAGAGAGAGAAAGAGAGACCCTGTGACGTGAGGTCACCCCTGCAACTCGTTCAAACAACACACAGGGCAAGCCGAAATGTTCTGAAGTGTGGTTACATTTCTAGGGCCATATGGTTTCTGAGAAAACGCGGACAGGATCGCGGAGTCCATTCATAAAAACGTAATTTACTCTATAGCGCGGAATGCCACGGAATTCGTCAATTTTGGACGAATAAATCAAAAGTAGCCACTGCCACTTAATTCGAATCGCGATATGAACTAGTGTCTGTGAATATTAAAATGCAAAAAGACGGTTTAAATATGAATCCTGCATGTTCCGCTTGCCTCTGTATGTATGAATGGCGGAAACGCGGTTTTGTTGTTTAAAACACAAATACTGAAGCACGCGTGACTCTCGCAGTGATTTCCGGCCTCTGTGTCTCACTATATGATGGCATGAACACAAAAACTTCATCTCCAGAGCTGCTGTGAGAGTAACTTTGCGAGAATTTTCCCGTTTCATTTGAGAAAACTAGCATCACCATACTGTTTACACACAGAAACTTGATGGCAACCTGTCAAAATAAAAGTACGGTTTAACATGTAACAGAAATATATTACTCTTGTATTACTTTTGTACAGTATAATGTACATCTTTAAATATTCCATTTTCTATCAAATTTAAATAAAACAATTAAATGATACAAATAAATATTACAACCAGATTAATCACTTAATTGTTGAAAAAAATTATGTAAATATAAGTCTCTGTAAATCCACTCTCTGACACTAGGTGGCGCTTATGGAAAAGCTGAATTAGAGCTGTTTAATTCTGTATATTACCAAAGACTGAAGATAATACCACCACGATAGATTCTGTATGTAATTGATTTTATTCTACATTGAGGACACTTTATAAAACCTACAGAGGATGGGACCCAGCGGCCTTCACTAACATGACACAGTTTTGAAATTCTTCTAACCGTATCGGTCATCTGACACTGACAGACAGACGGATGGGTGCTAAGCCAAAAGTAAGCATTATAAATGTACTTTTATTCGTCGTTTTGTCCATGTAATGTTAAATTTCACTCAATTTATATTGTTCAGTGTTAATAAGTTTTCAAATTCCGCTCTGTTATTTTACATATCCCTGTGGGTTAATTTGCGCGTGAGGTCAAGTAACATTAGGTGGTTCAAGATACAGTCTGAGGTAAATTTATGTCTGTCCCTTTTAGTTGTTTAAATTGGTCACTAAAACACGTAACTTTACAATAATATATTTAATATTTTCAAAACTTCATCTGGTGTGAAGTGTTTGTTCTTGTAGTAAAATACGTTAGACTTTGTCGTGGATCCCGGACGCTCACGCGATTCTGTGAGAGGCGTTTAAAATTTTAAAAATAATTTTAAAAAGCACACTGAAACAATTCAGTAAAGACTAAATATCAGTCTGACAGAAGACAAAATGAGCATTGTGAAGCTATATTTATATCTATAATAATCGTTTATATTTCAATTGTGTTTCAGGGCAGTTCGTGAAGACAGATGTTGCGACAACCTCTGGACTAGGGCTGGGTGATATAGCTAAAAAAAATCATCAACGATATAATGTTTCATATCGTTCTGTATCGATAATTATTGACATTTTTATAACCTTTTTTAAAACAAAAAGCAATAGAAAAAAAAATTTCAATTTAACCACTGTATTTATAATTAACACAATTTATTGAGACAAACAACAAATATTTTTTGTTTTAACAAACACAATAAAAATTAAACAAATATCTAATTTCTAATGTTATCAAATATAATCAAATACAACTCATATAAATCAAATACTCATAAAAATCAAATATAATTAACTCATAAAAATCAAATATATATAGTGTTTTCTAAAAGTTTAAACTGTTTTAACTTTGCATGGCTTTCTATACATCTCTTGTGTGACACGAGTGCAGCAGTCATATTTGTCCGTCTAAAAATGCGCTGAATATGCATTCTAAGGATGCACCGAAATGAAAATTCTAGGCCGAAGCCGAAGCCGGAAAAAATGAAACACTGGGCCGAAGGCCGAGTACCGAACACGGTTTTTCACATTTTCCCCCCATGTAGGCCTATTTTCAACAAAGCACAATTTAGCTTAAAATTAATTAGTAAAATTATATTTTTTGGCCATTTTTGAGACTTGAATCAGGCATGTATTTTTTACTGTACAAATAAAGACAGCCTTGCTGAGCAGAAAATACTTATTTTAAAGCATTAGAATATATTACAGATCCCAATTTGAATACTATGTGTGAATGTTATAATAAATGTATTAACAGAGCTGTTGTAGGGTAATTATTATTATCATTATTATTGTCTTACATTTTTATTTTATTTTACAGAACGACAGTAAAATTACAATATTATCATTTATGAATGTCGATGGAGTTGTTGCTTTTGCTCGGCTTTTATTTTGGCAGAAACCCGCAGGAAGATCTCAGTGCTTCTTTTTGTTGACAACAGCATGCAGATTTATAAATGATTCTCATTACGAATTTGGGAAGATGTTTGTCGCACATATCACATGCCTTTAAAAAAATCAAAAGGAGCAACTGACGAGTAACATAGTTTTAGTGCAGATTTTCCTCGCGCTTTGGACTTTGAACCCTGGTGCCGCGAGCTCGTGCAGCGCTGTCAGAATACATGCAATTAATTAAGAAATATATCGTGATATCAATTTTGGCCATATCGTCCAGCCCTATTGACATGTTTGCTGCATTAGCGCGTTTGTCATTGTTCGGTTCATATTATTTGGCCTTTTCCTTATTCGGCCGAACGAAAGAGATTTTCTTGCTATTTTCGGCCGAATAATTTCGGTTGCCGAATATTCGGTGCATCCCTAATGCGTTCTGTGTGAATGGTTTGGTTTCGGTTTTAACCCATTCAAGATCTTGTCCGCATTGAGCTTCTATATTTCTCTAATATTTTGAATGCATAACACAGCAGCGGCGCGTCTCGTGGGCTAGACTAACAAAACATTAAAATGCAACACCGTCACTTACATCACCGCATCTCGCGCGCCACTGATGACGCTCCCTGATGCACACTCACCTAACATTCAAATGCAAATGTTTATTTTAAATTCGACTAATATTCATTCTTTATTCACAATCTCCTCATCACAGGCAGGCACAGCACTCATTTCAGCATGTGTTCGTGTTTGTGTGTGCTGTCTGCGTCACTCATAGCACGTGCCTATATCGTGCGCTATATCGAACATTTTTTCTATTGATATCGAAGAAGGTGTACCGTCGATAAATATCGATACCGTTTTATTGCCCAGGCCTACTTCTGGACTGAAGTCAGTTCCACCTGCCACATCAGACTCTGCTGTATATGGAGGCCCTTATGTGTGTACTTTTCATTATTGTGCATGCAGATATTATTCAGGTATGTGAACACTTGACTATTGCATGAATAATGAATGTACCATCTTTGAATGTACCAGAATTTTAATTGGTTAATTGCAGTTGAATTAACCCCCCCAATTCAGCTCCAAGGGGTGAACATACACTACTAGTCAAAAGTTTTTGAACAGTAAGCTTTTTCATTTTTTTTTCATTTTTTTTAAAGAAGTCTCTTCTGCTCACCAAGCCTACATTTATTTGATCCAAAGTAC